CTCTCGGGAGAACAAAAATCTTCACTTACAATGGGGCTGTCTGCACAAAGCAAGCATTAAATGCTTGTTTAGATCTAGGGTACCAGAAAAAGTCAATTTACATACTTAACCCTCTGTTCCCCCAGGCTTCCAGACCGGCACCTGCAGACTCTTCTACCCTACACTCCCACGGCCACAGCTCCTCTTTTGTCATCAAGTACAATGCAGTGCCAGTAGCCCTGCACCGATTGTGAAGATGTAGAGGGGTAGTCCAGAAACCTAACTGTAGAAAAGTGCCGGCTGTCAAAGAAACAGGGATCAAGTAAGTAAAACTCCTTTTTTCTAGTATGATAGACATACAGGTATCTAAGGCTAAAATAAACTTATATATAAATATATATATAAAATCGAGCGCAGTATGAGGATGTAGATAGGGTAGCTGCTGGCACTGAAAGGCACCTCGTGAACCTCCAGAGTAATGGTAAAATATGAAAGTGCAGCGCTAACTTAAACAATGATTACACATAAGATAGATCCCATATGAATGTGGATCGGCAAAAAAGACGGCGTCAGTTCATCAGATGTGCTAAATACGTATACAGTCTCCAACACTTGAAGAGCCAGGGATAGTAGATATCAGCAATGATAAAGAAAAGCCAAGTAATGCACTGACCAGATAGCGCAAGTTAAAGCGCATGGGACATTTAAGACCTGTCCCTGGTACTCAGCCACTGTATCACTGGAGCAAGGCGGTGTCATCTATAGGGTGACCACTAGATGTCATCTGTCCGGATGGAAGCTGTGTCCAGCCACTGTGTTGATGGATCAGGTGGGTGTTGTCTGTAGGGTGACCACTAGATGTCATCGGTTCCAGGAGAAGCTGTATCACGGATCCAGGGATGTCACTGCAGATGTGTTCTTGTTAGGCACAATCCCAGGACCTACTGGATTTACAGGCTCCCCAGAAATAAAGAGCCCGTGGAAAAAGGCCTCAAATAGTGTGATAACGTTTATTTAAAATTGAACAATCAGAAAAGAACTTACTTAGCAAAGGTACAGCTGCTTATAAACGGCCAGACCGGAGGTACATGTACATAAGATAAACAAAGCTTGGCACTTCCCTAACGCGTATCGTGTAAGTACACACTTACCTTTGCTAAGTAAGTTCTTTTCTGATTGTTCAATTTTAAATAAACGTTATCACACTATTTGAGGCCTTTTTCCACGGGCTCTTTATTTCTGGGGAGCCTGTAAATCCAGTAGGTCCTGGGATTGTGCCTAACAAGAACACATCTGCAGTGACATCCCTGGATCCGTGATACAGCTTCTCCTGGAACCGATGACATCTAGTGGTCACCCTACAGACAACACCCACCTGATCCATCAACACAGTGGCTGGACACAGCTTCCATCCGGACAGATGACATCTAGTGGTCACCCTATAGATGACACCGCCTTGCTCCAGTGATACAGTGGCTGAGTACCAGGGACAGGTCTTAAATGTCCCATGCGCTTTAACTTGCGCTATCTGGTCAGTGCATTACTTGGCTTTTCTTTATCATTGCTGATATCTACTATCCCTGGCTCTTCAAGTGTTGGAGACTGTATACGTATTTAGCACATCTGATGAACTGACGCCGTCTTTTTTGCCGATCCACATTCATATGGGATCTATCTTATGTGTAATCATTGTTTAAGTTAGCGCTGCACAGGTATCTAAGGCTGGCCATAGATGGAGTGAATTTCTTTCCTGAAACCACGGGTTGACAGGGGATTCCTTCCCATGGAGCCATTTTGTTTTCCCAGCAGGGGGGTGGAAGTTGGGTGGGAAGAGCCAAGAGAACACAGTGATTATTGCTATAACAGCTGCTAGCAATAATGGCATGTAAAATTTGGCAGCCTGGTTGTACTCAAGTTTTATCGATCGATCAATCAACTTGGGTACATTCAGCCTGCCCACACATGGTTCACATCTTGGCTGGTTCCTACTGGAACCGGGCGAGATTCTAACGGTCTATGGTCGGCTTAACCCTTGCAGTGTGGGGACAGCCCCACTGCAAGTGAGGATTTTTTAGAAACTTGAAAATGGTCCTTCTCAGTGGGGCTCTTTTACTTACCGGATACTCTGCTCCTATAGAAGATGGCGCTCCCCTATGCTCCAGCGGTGGACTGTCCCTTGGCATCATTACATCCAGTGCATTTGTCTTGATGACATCAGGACCATAGAGCAGAAACTGGAGAAGATGCTGTGGGGAATGGACTGGCAGTGCGGGGGAGCGAGGAATGGGTAAGTAAATCTATTTTAACAAGTCCCCTAGATCTTAAAGAGCAATTAACCCTTGTGGTCCTAGTGCAGTCTCACTGCACGGGATCATTTTGAAGTTTCCTGGAGTTGGGCTTTAAGTCACCAACAGTGTACCCTAATAAATCAGTGTTTTTGTGTGCATGTTGGTGCAGGGATGTAAACTGCAGCTCTCACATGAAAAACTAAGAGTGCCAGTCTCTCAGTGCAGAAAACAAATTCCTCCAGTAGCCCTCTAATGCCAAGGAACACATCTCTGAATAACGCATATGATCGAAACTCTAGAAAACAAGTCGTTTGGAAGAAGCTGTGAGGCAATGACAATTAATAACTGAAACAACTAGCCCTGTATTGTCTCCACAGATATCGGTTTATTGTGAAAATCTATGTCATGAAGAAACAAAGCTACAGTCTATTTGATGATATACTCTTTTGACAATCTCTCCATAGGGCACCTATGGTGATACGCAAAACCTGCGCTGCATTACAAGCACGATATAAAGTTGTGACAGTATTATATAGTTTGTACTTGCAGCCTTGCCAGGACCGTAGCAATAAAATTGGAGCAATAACATTCCTGATCGTCTGAGCAGCTTAAAAAACAACAGCATTGTAAAAAATCCATCCAAAGCTGATTTTGCCAAAGTTGCTACTACAGATTTTGTTTCATACTGGTGAAATAAATCTTTGATGCAGTAAAATAATGCAGGTTATACTTGTTTATTGTTTTGTTATTCAGTTGCTTGAATTTTACTAAACTGCTGAACTAGACCTAAACTTTTCTGTTTGAAAGGTTGATTTTATGGCGAATGTTTACTGCATCATTTACAACAATTGTAAAAACACTTAGAACCCGATCTACCTGCCAAAATACACTTGGGGTGTAATTAATCAAAGGTTATAGGCGAAAAGCTGAATTTCAACAAACAACAACAAAGAGCAAGACAGTCAATAAAAGCTGTTCAACGCAAGCAAAGTACAAAGCGGCGATTGCTCGGCTTTCTGAACGGGTCTTAGTGATTGCTGCCTTTAAATATCAGTTGTTGCATATGATATATTGCTGCTGATTAAAAAAAAATAAATCAATAAAAAAAAAAAATAATCAAGTATGAGCATAATATATTTTATAAAACAGTACAACAAATTGAAACCATGCAATAAATCAGCAGATAAAGCAATGGGGAAGTCTTTACATTTACCTACAGTGACCAATAGAAAATTGCCCATTAATTTGACTAAAGTAAACCTAAAGCAGGTCGAGTCATTACCCTCTTCAGTTACTTTCCATTATCAGCCCTCCCAACCCCTATATTACACACACTTTTTAAGATTATTATTTATAGGCACATTTTTTTTTTTGCAGGACCCAGCCTTCTGCTGTTCTCACCTGGGTGAGAATAACACCAGCCAGCTGCCAGCAACCTCCTGGCATCCCTGGAGGCAATCAACAGTGCATGGTGCATCTTCAGGGGGTCGGCTTCCTCCTCCCGTTCCTGATGATGCACAACATTAGGGGCCGGCTGCAGGAACCAGGTAGAGACAGCATGCTCCCTTGATGATTTAAAAAAGGAAGATGGCGGCATGGGACCAGTGAACAGCAGTGAGATGAGGGGTACTGCAAATCAACGCTGAATTCGCTGAGTTTGGGTGTATGATAATGAAGGACAATCCAATGAAAAAAGTAAGAGGGGTTTGGGAAAAAAATAAGATAGGGGGATAAAGTTCCTTTTTAAACTTAGTAAGTAGCTATTAGTTCTTGCAGTCTGTGGTGCTTAACATTCTAAATTGTGAGCAAACAGCTATATACCTTTGTGCACTAGGCAAACTTCTACAGAGTTGGACTTAAAGGATAGGTTCACCTTTAGTAACATGTTACATTCATATTTAAGGTGTAATATGTTACTATTAAGAACGAGGGGAGGACTGACAACTCATGGGGCCCCTGGGCAATAGGGGATCATGGGGCCCCTGTGTCCTTGCCCAAACTCAAAAAAGCCTATGACAAAGGTACCAGGGGCATCTCATGGGACCCCCTACTGACCCCGGGCCCTCAGGCAGTGCCCTAGTTTCCAAATAGTCAGTCTGCCCCTCTTAAGAACCCTCACCTCTCCCCACACCGGCTGTAACATTTTCAAAACTGTGTTGGGCTTCGCCGGCACATCCACATCAGATCAGTCATTTACAGGGGTCTATGAATACCACTGTGACAGATGCACCTGTAGTTTTGATGGACTGCAAGCACACTGATCAACACGCTTGTAGTTCACTCATTCTTCCTCTAGCTTTGGAACAGAAAGCCCATACTGAGGTACAGGCACAAAGCAGGAACAAGACTGTGCATCATGCTTTTGAGGTTCATGTAAAAAAAAAAAAAAATAATAATATCGGTTAAATGCACATTTTTTTTTACCTGCAAACTCATGTGCATTTATGTATTTATTTTAAAGGTGAACTAAATTTTTCTTATCAGAACACAGACCAACAACAGGAACCTTCACTTTGGAGCTGCACTTTAACTGCTTCCCGTCTTCCCTATAGCAGAAATAATGCTACAGGGTGGCGCGGGTGCCCAAAATCACATATATATATATATATATATATATATATATTTGATTTTGCATTTCCAGGTAAGGAATGCACGCCCCCTACTCGCGACGCCATTCGTGGCCGTGGCTGACAATCACCAGGTCCCGACCAATGATTACTCGCTGGCGCCCAGTAACTGCTGAGGATCTCCGATGGGGCAGAGAACTGTTTGTAAACAAAACAGTTCTCCTCTCTGTCAGCTCGTGCACACTGCTTTGCATGGCTGTGCACAGCACAGCCATACAAAGGAGTGTGCTTACAGTGAAGCACACAGACACTGCCCCATAGTAAAACACACTCAGCACACAGTTAACCCTTTGATTGCCCCTCATGTTAACCCCTTCCTGCCCAGTGCCATTAGTAAAGTGTCAGTGCTTTTTCTTAGCACTGATCACTGTATTGGTATCACTGGGGATGTCAGTGACACCAAGTCAGTTCCCCCCCAGTGTCAAAATGTCCACCGCAGTCCCGTTATAAGTCGCTGATCGTCGCCATTACTAGTAAAAATAAAAATTCCTGTATATATATCATCAATTTTAAATGCTATAACGTTCACATAAATCAATTAATTTATATGTATTGGTATTTTTTTTTAGCAAAGACATGTAGCAGAATACATTTTGCCTTAAGTTTATGCTGAAATTTGATTTTTAAAATTTTTTAATAGCAAAAAGTCAGAAATATTGGGTTTTTTTTTTCTTAAAATTGTCGGTCTTTTTTTTTTATGGCGCAAAAAAAACCCGCAAGCGATCAAATACCATTGAAAGAAAGCTCAATTCATGGGAAAAAAAGGACGGAAATTTCATTTGGGTGCAGCGATGCACGACTGCATAATTGTCAGTTAAAGTAACTCAGCGCCGCAAAAAATGGCCTGTTCAGGAAGGGGGGGGGTAAATCCTCAGGAGGGAAGTACTCTGAAATAAGCAAATATAGTCTAAATACAATAGGTAGATGCTTTCTTACTTGATTTTTGGTGTAGTTTGGGTATTCTTCCAGATTTGTGCAGTAATACAAGTTACCTTTGTACAGAAGCTTCCTGCAATAAAGACTAGTCACTGCTCCTTCCTCTCCTTGTACATTTATTATATTGTTATTATTTATTGCAGGTACTTACATAGCATTGTCAATTTACGCAGCGTTTTACATATATATTGTACATTCACATCAGTTCCTAACCCTCAAGGGGTGTACAATCTGAGGTCCCTAACTCACATTCATACATACACATACTAGGGCCAAATTAGACAGGAGCCAATTAACATACCAGCATGTCTTTGGAGTGAAGGAGGAAACCGGAGTACCTGGAGGGCACAGGGAGAACATGCAAACTCCAGGCAGATGGTGCCGTGGTTGGGATTCAAACAAACGACCCTAATGCTGCCAGGCAGTAGTGCTAACCATTTATCCACTGTGCTGCCCATGTATCCAACCACTCCTGTAGTGTTCTGTAGGCAGCTCAGTGATGATGTCATCACTACATTTATATGGTAATACCTGAGTTTGCAAGGGGATTTGGTGCACAGAAAGTGGACTTATATCTTGAGTTATAATTTGAAATAAACATTTTTGTGCCCAGAGTTTAGCTTTAAAGCCAGCTATAGCCTATTTTGTTATGGGTTTTAAAGATTCAAGAAGGTTCAATCAACTATCTGAACTGATCAACTCCACGAGGACTGATGTTAGAATTTTACTGTCATCTTGTTTTGTTTTATGTACTTTCATGTCATACAGTTTTTTAACCTTGAAGGCGTGCATACTTTCTGCGCTGCATTTTCTTAATGCACATTGGTAGCAATTACCATTAAGGGAAAGCTCAATATAATTGTATTTTTATACCCTTAAAAAAAAAACAGCTAAGCAGAATGTACTGCAGTCTTGGGAAAAGAAAGTAACTAAGAGCTTTGCCTTAAGTGTCTCTTAAAGGAAAAACACAAATGTATTTCTTTATGACCACATGCTCAATTTACTAAAATTCATAGGTTTGAATGAAGCTTTAGGTGCTTAGTTAAGACAAAGGTTTGTGTAAGGTAAACTTGTCTGGATATAAATATGGGAGCTGCCATTGCAGTTTTGTTTTCAGAGGTTCAAGCTTCCCGGCAATCCTTCCTCTCCACTGCAGCCACAGCTCACTGACACAAGGGAGCTGGAGCTGCAGGGTCACGTGACCAGACTGGAGCAGACTTAAAACAGGTAAGTACACACATCTTTTTTTTTACAAACGTTAGGCTGGATAGGAAGCGGGGGAGGGGGGCAGGGGTGGACTGAAAACTCATGGGGCTCCCGGGCAATAGGGGATCATGGGGCCCCTGTGTCCTCGCCCACACTCAAAAAAGCCTATGAAAAAGGTACCAGGGGCATCTCATGGGGCCCCCTACTGACCCCAGGCCCTCGGGCAGTGCCTGAGTTTCCAAATGGTCAGTCCGCCCCTGGAGGGGGGCATTATTAGCTTAGTTAGTGTTAGGTTTTTGGGGCCGTGGATAAGAAGGTACCACCAATTCTCCTGTATGGGGCTCAGGCAGCTGGATGAATTGGATGTGGGCAGGGTGGGTGATCAGCATGGTGGGGGTGGGGGGGGGCAATTATTGGCTCTCTCTGCAGCAGCTCAAAGCTGACGACTTTTCCTTTCTCTCCCGCTGCCCGGTGGCTTTCAGCTGCTGCAGAGAGAGCCCTACAGGGGATCAGTTCCAGTAATTGCTCCCCCCCCGCTGCACCCATCACCCTCCCTGTGCACTATACGTTTCCCCCTGCTGCCCAGGCACCCCTATGTGCCCCCACCCCCGCAGTCTTTCCGCCTCCCCTCTTCTCCTTTCCACTGGCAGCTGCCAACACACAATAGGATCCTTCTGGATGGAGAGTGTGTCTGGTAAATGTGTCACATTTGCCAGCACCTTTCTTTCCTGAGTGAACACAATGAGTGTTTGGTACTGATTACTTGCTGTGTCCATTCATAACTGAATCATCGTAAACTATTTTTTGGGGGAAATGGGGACCATGTCAGGTTGCCTGTATAGGGCCCCATGGTTTCTAAAAGCAGCTCTGCTTCTGGGAAAACCAGTAAGCCAAATCGCACAAGCAGGAAATGACATTTTTAGGGGGGCGTTCTGTACGGAACACTCCCAGGTAGCCATATTGCATTGAATTTTACAGAAAATTACAGAGCTACAGACTAAAAAAGAAAAGTAAGCTTTAACAACATTCAATTACAATTTGACTTGAGTTGCAATTTTATACGCTATATTATTTTTTTTTTCTTTTGCCATTTTTTTCCCTTGAAAGTGGAGCTACCTTTTAAGCTTTTAGTACTACTTTAGGAGAGATAGCTATTTCTTTTTTTCTGTGTTCAAACATTAGCTATATTTTATCACGTGGATAACAGCAGCTATAGCAAACACTGGAGTGCATATTTCATGCTGCGCAGCAAGTAAAAGGTTTATAAAATACTGCAGTTAAACACAAAATGTTAAATGCTGAAAGAGGGATGAAGCCTGGTACTAACATCTGAATTTTCAGTTCAAGTATACGCTGTGAACAGGTCCCCACCAGCCACAGTAATTAGGAGAATTTTAGGAAAAAGGACTGACATGAAAGATACAGGCAAAGACCTCCACTTACTCAGCAGTAACATCTGCATTACACAGCCATCTCACAAACCTGCAATTTGAGGTGAGCATAAAGTGCGTTTGAAGAGAAAATGACAACTTGGCATTGTATGGGGCGTATTGATGATTTCAGGCACGGAGGCTATAAATCAGACTCTGGTAGAGCTTACTGTTGTGTAAAATTTAACTAATTTCTCTCATTATTTCTCATTTCACTTCCCTTAGGCTACAGAATATGAGTCACATTCAAATTCCACAGCAAGCTAGTGGAGAATATGGAAGATTGTTGTACTCAAATCTGCATTTATGTCCTAAATGATGAAATCATTACATTTATTCATTGTGTTTACTGTAGATGAGGAAGAAAAGAGGAATTTCTCCGCCAGATAAACAGTAGTTTGCCTAATTTATTAGTACTCCCTCTGGCACAAACAGTGCTTTCTTTTGGAATGTTAAATTTCGTTAAGTCATCATGGGAGAAAATCTAACTTAATACAAGAAAAAAAAAAATGAAATGTGCTGGCTGACTAGAATTTTAGTCATGTACTGTACATCATATGAACTTTCACCTGCTAAAATACAGCTTTCTTCGCCTAAGAGTAAGTGGATATGACAAGGTACATGTCTCAAACTGCCTTCGTTGCCACTGCAATGTTAGTGTAGTTAAGTGCATAATCTACTCCAGGATGAGAAATGAAGTTCTAGATTTAGGCTCCATGTACACGTTTAGGAACTTTTCTGCATTTTTTTCAGCAACCCCTGAACTCTCCCTAATGTTTTCCTATGTGTCCATGTACACATAGTCATTTACAGTCGTTTACAGGTAGTTGAGTTTACAGTCAATTTTTTGAATGTACCAAACTTGCGTTTAGGAGTAGATTTTATCAGCGTTTCAAACACCAAATGCTTGTAAACGTCTAACCAAAACCTAACGGCGTTTATAAGCGTTTGTGTTTGGAACTTTATTAACTCTTCCATTTCCAAATGCTGTCCAGAGCCTTTTTTCATCATAAAAAATGCATGCAAAGTGTTTTCCCAGTACTCAAATGGACCTGGTACACCATACTTTGAGGTTTCACATAAAAGAAAATATGTTAGACACTGCTGCAATAATTTCTGCACAGAAATGAGCTGGAACACATCCAAACACCACAAAAAAAAACAAAAAAAGACAGCTAATTTCAACACATACTGCTCTCTCTGCTTCTGTTCTCTCTATTTCTCTCAAAATGTCTGAAATAGTTAATTGTTTACTGTTTTTCAGTGCATTCTGGGCATTTTGGAAGGTCTCCTGAGATTATCTTTAAAAAACGCTTTTAAACACGCATAAAGCATGGTATGCAAACCTGCGTTTTCCACCAGTCAGTTTCCATCGTTCAGAAGTGTCCCATGTACATGGAGCCTTAGTCATAAAAAACACACACTAATGAAATACTATATACTGTAGCTGAAAATGGATATATGACTTATTTTCAAAATATATTTCCAAGGTGTACATGTCTATATGCCGATACAGAAGCAGAGCAGATACTAGAACAAAAATAAACTGATATTTTTGAGTGGTGGTGGTGGTGGGGTGTACGGGCCATGTCAGGTAGGCTGTACAGGGCCCCGTGACTTCTAACAGAAGCCCTGCTAGTATCTGCTCTGGAGTAAGCTAATAGACCGCACCACATTCCTGTGCAAATCACATGCGATTTGTGTGCGGTGTGATTGGAGCCATACATTTTGCA